TCATGGTGCTTCCGTGCATTTTCGCATTCCCCGAACAGCCTTAAGACGCTACTACCGCCACATGATGAATGAAGGCACCTCAGTGCAAGACTTGCGTCAAAATCTTGCAGTAAAAAAAGTTTTCAATGATGAGCAAGATAAAATGTTAGTGGACTACATCAAGGATGCAGCAAATCTTCAGTTTGGTTTAACTTTAAAAGACGTCAAAGTACTGGCATACCAGTTCGCAAAGGATTAAATACCCTTCTACATGGGACTCTAACCAAATGGCAGGAGAATTCTGGTTGCGCTTATTTAGAAAACGTTATAATGAAGAGCTCTCTCTGCGCAAACCAGAAGCTACGAGCTTGGCTCGTTCATCGGCATTTAATAAGCACTCTGTTGCACTAACGTTCAATAACTGTAAGAAAGCTCAGTCACAATGCCCGTTAGATTTGCGAGCAGCTAACATTTGGAATGTTGGCGAAACAGGCTTGTCCACAGTGCCCGTCCCTCCAAAAATTCTGGCACCAAATGGAGTTAAGCAAGTAGGATCCGTAACAAGCGCTGAAAGAGGGAGCACTATTACGATGATAGCTGCATCTAATGCTGGAGGAGGATTTATTCCACCAATGCTTATATTCCCAAGAGTTAATTTTCAAGACTTTATGGTTCATGCAACACCAGAGGGCACTTTAGGTTCTGCCAGTCTATCGGGATGTTCTAATGAAGCCAGTTTTGTGATGTTTATGAACCATTTCATAAAATTTGTAAGACCTTCTAAGGGACAGCCTTTTATTGTTCTCATGGACAATCACGAAAGTCATATATCTGTTCCAGCTATTCGCCTGGCAAAAGAAAACGGTATAGTTCTTGTTACGCTGCATCCACACACCAGCAATAAAATGCAACCGTTGGACAAATCAGTTTTTGGGCCATTTAAAACATATTTTAATCAGGCAGCTAAAGCTAAAAATGATGACACCTGGACACATAGGAAAACCTTTGACAGTTTACGATATTGCTTAGTCGGAAAAGCATTTCCACGTGCATTCACACCAACAAACATTGCCAATGGCTTCAAGGCTACAGGATTCCACCCACTAAATGAGAATATATTCTTAGATGCTGACTTTTTGGCACCAAGCTTTTCAGACCGTCCATTACCCCACGAAACTTCCACACAGCCTGATTGTTATTTACCCGAAGAAGTATCTGCATATAGTGACAACACGCTGCCTCAAAACCCTCCAGTCCAAGTTGATCCGCCTGTGCCTCAAGAACCTCCAATCCAAGTGGATCATCTTTTACTCCAAGAATCTTGTGCACTTGCTGACAATCACTCCTCACTCCTCAAGAATTGTCCCAAGAGCCCCCGAACAAGCTGAAATGCACCCTTTTAATGTTCCTAAAACATCTCAGAAAGTTGGGCCAAGTTCTTCAAAACTTAATAACCCCTGAAATAATTCGCCCACATCCAAAAGCCGCACCTAGAAAAGGAACACCAAAAGGTAGACCAAAAGGCAAATCTAGAATACTAACGGACACACTAGAGAAAAACGCGATTGAAGATTTAAAACAAGTTAAAAAAGCTAGTCTCCAAGGTGCACGTAAACTGAAGAAATGCAAGGGTAAGGAAAGGAAGAAAATAGATAGAGTGAAGCGAAAAGTCCTGATTGAGTCTGACTCTGAGGATTCCAACTATTCCGTCCACGATACTGATAGTGATGACTTTTATGGGGAAAATGAAAACGGTGACAGTTTGATGGAAGAAGATAATGTCAGTTATGAGAAAGGAGACTTTGTGATACTTATATATGAAGAAGAATACTTTGTAGGTAAAATAGAGTCTCTTAGTGAAGAGGGAGTTTTGATGAAATCAATGCAAAAATCTTTGAAAAAACTGGAAATGGCCTGGTAAAGATGATTTGAATCTGTATCCGTACCAAGATATTAAGAGAAAGAAAGAAAGTTTATCGTGTTCCAGAAATTGAGATATACTGGGATTTTTGTTAAGTCCCATTCAATTAAATATAATAATCGATCTCGAAAAAGTAACTGAAAGTCTGAGTCTGACATAGTCTTTTTCTACTTAAGTTTTTTGAAGATTATTTTTGTTAAGTTTTTATGATTTATTTTTGTTTAATAACTGTAACTATTGTTAATTACATACAATTAATGCTAATATGATTAGCTAATTACTATTAATATTATTTCAACAGAAAATAAATTATAGTTAAAAAGGTGTTTATCTCGGTTTGAAGCTGCTCTGTCTAAGGTACAACAGACTCGGTCCAAGGTACATCTGTTTTGTTGTACCTAGGAAAGTTTTCTCTTTTTTTTCAAGTGTTTAATGGTACCAGGTTTATGAAAATAGACACAGTCTTATGAATTAATTATGTAGTTAATCAAATGATCTTCACATACATACACACTGGACAGGTGCAGCTGGCACCGTTATAAAAAAAAAACAAAATTAAAAAACTGACCTAGGTACAACAGGTTCCCCTATATCTCTCATTTGTACTGAGGGCAGTTAAAGATACACTCCTTTGCTTTTTTGTATCTCTGAACTCCGCTGTTAAAATGGTGCCATGCCTTTTTTTAGAAATAAGAGGAAATGGTGGTGTGATTCCTCTTTCCTCTTTTTTAAATCAAATTAATTAGTGACTTGAGAAATTACTATAAACAAAATCTAAGGGTCGGCCAATGCAAAACAGCTGTCAAGTGGCGTGCAAATTTAGGCCCTAGCTCAATAAATCGGAGAGTAGGGGGGCTGTTAAGAGAGCCAGTGACTCAAGACGGATTAAGCCACAAATCCCCGAGATGTTAGTCGTAACTTGTTTTGCTTGACCACCGCACAAAGAAAAGAATCTATCAGTAATGGTGAAACCTAATTAACTGTAGAGAGCCAAATAAAACAAGATATCTAAAAAAAAGAATCACAATATATTACCAAAACAAGCAGCACATATGCTCCACCACTGGAATGCAAGTTAAAAGAAAAGATGTTATTAAAAACTACCTGACAATAAAAATAATAACTAACGTTTATCATGGTACAGGTATAAAGGCTTTACAAATATAGGTCTTAACAAATATATATAATGCCTAAACCTAAACTTATCTGGGCAATGGTCTTCTTCCAGTTACAGCTCTAGGCGTAGCTGTGATGTTCTCAGCTCTCAAGAACTCAGGTCAAAAATCAGTGGCCAGTAGTGAGCAGTGAACTAGGAATGTCACAAAGTAGGGGCTGCTTGCCTCGTTCGCAAAATTTATGGTATAAAAATACCCTAGAGAGAGAAAAAGACTGTTCAAAAATCTACTCTCTACTCTATGTCTGAGACAGAACTATGCATTTAAAAGACTCAAAACTTGAAGAAAGATCCATTTACATTCTTTGTTACTAGAAATTTACTTTTTTTCAGCAAGGGCAAGAAAATATAAAAATATACCAAAGTGATATACCCTCAGAAAGTTATTCCTTATTCTAAAATAAGTTATGGCAGCTCAAAATCCAAAATCATGATTAATGTAATCTAATAAGCCCAAAAGACAGTGACATGTAGGCACTACACTATAACATATTTGAGTACGTAAAATGCCAAACAAAATCAAGAACAGTCTAAGAATTTATATCAGTCAACAACAATCAATATATCAAGATCTATGAAATACCCAAATAAAACAATATTTTACCTGTTCACATCAGGGTTTTTATAAAGGGGAAGAGATGGCTTCCAACAAAATTGGCTGCGAAACAGCTACAAGGCAGCTACAAAACAAAGCTGGAGGAGTGTGAACGGTGGTTCTCCGTAATGGCTTTCCAGTAAAAGGAATCAGGTATTGAACAAACTTCTTTAGGACAAGCATTAATGGACATAGCCCGATGGTATACAAAAGAGAACTTACCGATGGAGGTTAAAATCCCATTACAGAATGGACGGAGTAGTACCCTAACCAACACAACTAAACGTAAGGTACAAGATAAAGGGATACTAATCCATAAACTCGTGCTTGGGGCGTTAATATCCCAAAATCTGGAAGTTAACGGAAAAAACGCCCCCACACAACCAAAATCACAGCGGAAAAGCAAAAGTAAAATGGCGCTGCACGCGTCGGTACGCAATTGAAAGAAGGTACCTTGATAGTAAATCACATTTCAAAAGAAGGTAACTTGAAAGTAAATCAAATTTTAACAGGAGGTATCTTGATAGGTAAGTAAACATTAAAAGGTGGTTAAATGAATGGCCTTGAAGAAGGTATGTTGATAGAACGAAATGTCCCTCTGCTGCTAGTACGTGTAAAGTCACAAGGTGGCGCGCTGATTGCCACTGGGCAAAACGACGGCAGAAACAAATCTGTCTACGAGGGACCAAAAATATTTTGTGAGAAAATTTCTCAGATAGAAGACAGATTTCAAAACAATACTGAGTCGCTGAGAATAACAGATATAATACGTGAGAAATTCTACAATCAATAAACCATGAAATTTACCAAAATAAAATCATTAAAAAGGGCTTGGTCTAAGAATCGGTACCCCACTATTAATGAAGGGAAATTCAAATCACTCACAAGTGATCAAAACAGTAAGCAGAAAGGTTACGTTAATTTAGCACGTGACAATGGATATAGCTTCCAATTCTTTCGTTTTCGCTCCCTTTCTTTTCTTTCTCAAACTTTCGAAATATCTCATCATCTGGTGTTTAAATCCTCAACAAGTTGCGACGAAAGGATTTGTATGTCCCACTTGAAAGTACTTTTCTGTTACCTTTCTGCTTCGAGGCCTACTTTTTCCATGGATGGGGACGCTATACCTATCTCAGCCTGCTAACAGAAGGATACTTTTTAATGTGAGTATTCTTCCCATAAACTGCCTTACCATACTTCCTTAGAACACGCTTTGGCAGGCTTGTAACAACATTCTGTTATAACTCAAGTGCCTCCGGGTTTATACAAGTAAGAATTGTATACTGTTCATCTTGCCTGCTCTCAAAGCTCTCTATGAATACCTTTTTCAGATCTGGCGCCAAAATCTCTATCCAACAGCAAGACCTCTCAACACCTGTACATCTAGCATGTGCCCAAGGAGCGACGGAAATAGTGAAGCTTATGTTCGAGATGCAACCAGAAGAAAAAATGGCCTGCCTTTCGTCATGTGATGTCCAAAAGATGACGCCACTACATTGCGCCGCCATGTTCGACCATCCTGAGATCGTGGAATACTTGGTGGCAGAAGGGGCTGATATTAATTCTATGGACAAGGAACGAAGATCACCAATGCTGCTAGCAGCACTCAGAGGAGGTCAGTGAAAGTTACGGATATCATCTTCATGTAGGTTTCCATTTTATGTGCTTGAGGTATGAGTTTAAGGGCCGATTTCACAATTTAACAAACCATTATTCTGCACCAATAGGGTACGAGTACTAAACAGTCCGTCAAATATACCCTCAGCCTTAAGATCTCTCCGTCAAATTTTTGCCAGCAAATAGCATCCAAGTATTTGAAACAAAACACTGTAAATTATCAAGTGACAGCTTGCCATTGAAATTTTTTCAGTTTATTAAATATTATGAAATTATATAAAACTGAGCCAAAATTAAAAAAAAATGCTTGGTGGCTGAGTAAAATCCATTTTCTTTTTTCAGTTTAGCTGAAGGTTTCTTCATGTTTATTGCAACCTTTGTAATCCATATGCGATTATATTTACTATCAACACCTACTGGGTGTTAATAGTTTATCCTACATTTGCAAACTTGCACTTCCAAATTCTTACATGAAAAAGCTTTTTCACTCAAAATGTTGTTGGGTTTTGCATTTCAACACATTCATACACTCCTTTCCAATTCCTCAACAACAATTTGACACCACTGGTCCGAAACTGTTCAAGATTTCATTCATCCATTCAATTGCAGTTGCAGTGTTTTGTTTTGATTTCAGTATAGCAGTCGCACCATCGGTGATGATACATGGTACACTCAACATAACCACGTATTTGGGGGTTAGTACAGATTTAACTGTACACGACAGTGTAATATGTGATTCTGCATAGAAAGTTCTTGGAGGGAGCACTTTTTTACCAAAAATCCATTTTCCAGGAATAACACATTATCTAAACGATAAGTGACAAGTGACCACAAAACATAGAGTACAGTAACGTTGGGGAAAAAGAATAGACCAAAGAAGAATTGACATTTGAAATTAGTGTCTCACAATGTTAGTGATGGCAGAATCGGTGGAATGCATTGGAACGGTTAAACAATATGAATTTTTAGGTTATCTCGACTGACAGACTGGAATATCTGCTCTATTTCTGTACATATATTTTTTGTGGTATTGTTGCATAAAGTAGGTTGTTTACGAACCAGTTCCTAGAACTGAACGCAACTTAATGAAACGTACTAGAAAGCACATCACTATTTCAAGTAATCCAAGGAGGGACAAATCGTCATTTCATCACAATAGTGATGGGAGAATCGAAAGCTTGAGATTCGCTTTGCTTCTGTGGCTCATAGATATAGTGTTTTCTTGTGATAAAACCAGAGCAGTTTTTGTGTTTAAAATACTCTACCTTAGTTAATAGCTTTGATCCTGAAGTTGCTCCCAATACAGCATTGAACAACTCTCATGTCGTGGCGCATGCAGTAATCCGTCAATGAAGCATATTTTTCGTTTCTTTGTCCTTTTCCGAGCTACTATGATGAATCATCTAAAAAAATAATAGCATATAGCATAGTCGGGGCGGCGGCACTCGAAACGAGTGAGCAATACTCGAGGCTAGGCCTTTTCTAGGCCTTGTATAGAGTCATGCGGATGTACCTCTTAGCCCGAAACAAATAGCCAAGCTTTTTCCCAGCAGTTGCCGCTACTGACAAGATGTGTTCGTGCCAGATCAAGTCCTCGGTGATCTGGACTACGACCAGCCTAAATGACTCTTTGGCAGAACCCGGCCATCCATCGGAACCGTATGAGCGCTAGAACGCTTTTTGTGCGTCACGGTACAGTACTGTGTTTTGGAAAAGTTACAATGTACCGGATTGTTGCGTACCCAAGCATCAATAACCTCCTGGTCTCTCGTCAGAAAGGTAGTCGTCGCTAATCTTATTTTTTCCAGCTCAGCTGCATAGATCGCCTTGTCAATCTGAATTCCTGCATGTAGGGCGCTGCAATCAGCGAAGCTGTGGATTGGGTTGATTGTACAGGAAAGGAGGTCGTTGATATGTAAGAAGAACCGTGTCGGAGCCAAGGCCAATCCCTTGGGAACACCCGTGTTGACTTTGCGGGATGAAGAGGAGATCTCGTCAATCACGACGGATACCTTGCGGCCAGAGTGAAAGTCAGCCACCCATCTACAAAGTCTTTCTGGGAGGTCATGGGATGGAAGTTTGGATAAGAGGGCAGCGTGCCACAGCTGATTGAACGCTTTCGTGATATCAAGGCCAACGACATAAACCCCACCGTTATACTGGATTAGCTTAGTTTACAATTGCGTGACGTAAGCTAGGAGGTCCCCTGTGGATCGCTGGTGTCGGAAACCATACTGCCTGTCGCGAATCAAGTCGAGACGTTCGAGGTAGTCCAGAAACTCACGATTTATGCACCTCTCATCACCTTACTTATAACAGAAAGCAGAGCTATAGGCATGTAGTTGTAAGGGTCAGATGCTTTTTTGGGATGGGTTGGATATGAGCAAATTTACAGTTTTCTGGATTCATAAGATATCTGGTAGAGACGCGAAAGAACCGGAGCAAGCTCCGCTGTACACCTCTTCAGTACGATCAAGTCCGGACCAGAAGCTTTGTTGGGAGGCGTCCATGTTGGAGTTGGCAGAAAATATATTGGCGAGCACTTCAGCCTTGGCCTTCAAGTCAGTTACAATCGTTCCATCCTGACACGTAAGTGTGGAAGGCTACTGTGTGACAAGTTTTTTTTAATCTGCTTGGTCAGAGTCCAGAAAGACCGACTGCCATTTGGCTGCGACATTACCTTGCCAAATCAGACATATCTTTCATCATTTTCAAAGAAATTGTACAAAATCTTCAACTTTGTGAAGTTAGCGAGTTTCACTTCATACGTTGTTGCCAGACATGCCCAAGTCATCAGTTTCTGCCATGATATTCATACCGACGACTCAATCTCCACGGCTAGGCGGCCTGTATGTTAAATTTGTGTTGATAGGGCAGCGGGTTATGCTATAAATCATATGTTACAATTTTTGTGCACTAACTGCAACTGATAGATGATACCAAAAATATTTTCATAAATAGGAGATATTTTCCATTCCGGATCGAATAATCCACCAAAGATGCTTATAATCATGATACCTAGAAAATTTTAATGAAAAATCCGCTGTATGTAGGTACATAATAGCTTTCTTATATTGGTTCATCAATTTGATGATACAACACATTTGCCAAAGATGATCATAATCAGGATAGTAAACTATGACGAAGGTCCACTGTATGTAACAATTTTCAGATATTTCATTTGCAATTTGACAACAGACCATGATGTGGTGTTCACACTTTGCAAATATTCTTCAAGAAGTGTTATCAGTCTAGCTTCAACAATCATAAGTACTATGTTTGTGTTCCTACTTTAAATTCAAAACCAGCAAATGTAAAAGATTTATGTCGCATCCTCCACCATTGGACGTGATCATCGTTATGATTTTTGGACTTAAAAGACATTATTTGTGAGACATTTTTCATAATTTTTTGTCTATGTTCATAGTAATTGCATTACGCATCAGGGGATGTAGGGATTGACACGTCTTACTCATATTATCTGTGTTTTTGGATGGAGAGGACATAATGTTTTTATTGCTTTGAATAAATTACTTAACCCATAAATTAATAAATGATTACTATTATGATGTAAAGGAAGATGAGGAATTGGATGGAATGTATTTTATATTCTATTTTCTTGCAAAATATAGACAAATCCACACTATTCAACAGGTATGTAATGATAACAGTACATTAAACTTAACAAATTCGAGATTGCCATGCATTAACAATCATCCAAATCTGCTGCCAAATTTCACAGCTAGCCTATTATTTGCCGCATTCCATTGGCTTTGGGGATAACTGATAGTTAAATGTAAATTTATAACAGAAATCAAAATACATGAAAGTTGTCCTGTTTTCTCTGTACAAAAGCATCATGTTGGAATTAAAAAGTGGTCTTGCTTATAATACAGTCGAATTTTCACGATTTTATTCAATATTTTAATAGAAATCACTTATATTCAGATACCTTTGAGAGCTTCTGTCAAATTGCATTTTGATAAGGTATTTTCCCATTGGTACATAATATTAATGTTGGTGAAATTGGACCTAAGTCAGTCAAAAGAATTATCATGATAACAAAGATTCCACAGCTACCTACGTAATACGTGTAAAGGACATTTCCCAAAGGCCCCTCAGGTGTACACATTTATGGAATATGTTCAAAACAAAATGTTTTATAAGAAATTTCGAATGTGATCCTCTGTGTCCTTTAGTTTTCACGCTTCTGCACTGGTGAAGAAGTAATGTAATGTCAAAGAGTCAAAAATGAGATATCATGTTTTTTGGATGCTATACAATATCTATTCCATGAAAAATCATGTCAGTCGTTCCCATCGGTCTATCCGCTAATCCTTGGGCCAGTCTATAACTTGGAAAGGTTGTCACTATGCCAAGGACGAAAAAGCGTCGTAGTTATGAAATCCAATAAATGGCACTGGGTTAGGGGAAAAAACGAAAAAAAATCAGAATCTCTCAAACTTCGTTTTTTACTTTCCCCGCCATACTGACGAGGAACCATGCCACTCAATATTATGTCTGTCTGTCTGTCGGTGTGACTGTTCCACGTAACGTCACTAATTTGCCAATGACGAAAAAGCTTTTCAGATTTTGAAAATCGGTCCAATAGAAACTGAGGTTTGCTTAATTTTATATACGGTTCTACACTATAGCTCCAAGGAACTGCGACTTTCATGTGCGGACACGCACGTTGCCGCAATTTGAGTATTTTTTCTCTTAAAAATTTTAAATAATGCTGCTAATTTTGTAAAAAATAAAACATCTCTCAATTTGGAGAGCATCGATTTCGAACTAGCTTGTACAGAACCAGAGTCTCTAACAGACCACTTTTTATACTCCTAGATAAAGCTCATCACCAAAACTGTTGCCAGCAATGGAATACGAGGAATATTGCCAACTTCTATGAGGAGATAACACCACAGTGGCGCGGCGATTTCCACCTCGGAAATGGTTAAAGAGTAGAATTTACCTGAACATTTTGCAACATTAAGCAGAAATAGCTAGAGCATGGTACGAGTTATTCAAGACTCACCACGTGGAAAAAGCTGCATATGAAGTCCCGTCCCTCCCTCCACCCGTCTTTCAGTTTCAACAAAATGAAAAATAAATATGATTAATCTCTATAACTTAAAAATACAAATCACAAAAATAAAAAGTTCTGAAAGACGCTTAAAAACGATAAATTCTGAATATTCAAAAATTAAAAACAAATATAAAATGACCATGAATGATATATAACGTAAATAGGTGGAAATATAAATAAATAAGTAAATAGATTAATAAATCATTGTCGTCGTTTAAGTTAATTATCACTGGTTCGATTATCCGCTCTATGGAATGGTCCATTTCCCAGAGCATTTCCTTTTCTTTGACTACATGCCTTATGCAATCCTGCCACGTGTCACCAGATACCCATTAATGACCTCTTCCAAAATAATACGAACATCAACTATCGGCTTAACTAGATACCTACATACACTTATTATCTACCTTTTCCACAGTTCCATCACCATATTGCCGAAACTACGAATCAAATAATTTGTCGCTGCTCTTGAATTTGTTCCTAGACTACATTTGGATATCCACAATTGGGGATCAGACAATTTTCAAGAGGTAAACCACTTTCGGCCATTTGTATTCATATACAACTTTGACACAATTTTGACAAGCCACATCAGTGATACAAAATTCTAAATACTGAGTGTGCAATCACTCGGAAAAAGAAAAAGGGTGAAGATGAGACTGTAAACATTAGCTGTGATTCTATTATGTCAACGCAAGAAACATGTGAGTACTTGAAAAAACAGAATAAATTATTACAACAGGAGTTATTAGAAAAAACGAAAGATTTAGAAAATTGTCAAGCATTACTTTTGGAAAAAGAAACACTAATATACCACCTATCAAACGAAAACCGAAGATTTCAAGAACAGTATGATCTTATTTCTTCAAACATAGTCGATAGGGACTGTATAGTAATACCACTTGAGACACTCCTTAGGAGAATTGAGAAGTTAGAGGAAACAACAACAAAAAATTCCACATATGCCCAAGCAGTTATAAATTCACCATCAGAGAGTAAATAAAGGACACTTAAAAGTCTTATCATTACCCCTGAACAACAACAGTCTAACTACAGAACTAAGAACGAGCTGAGCAGAAATTTGAATTTATCAAAAATAAACATCAAAATTGAAACTGTTAAGAACTCTAAAAATGGTGGTATTGAATTATATGTAGAAGACCGCTACCATAAGAAGCTAAAAGAAGAAATTGGGAAGAATCTGCCATCAACATACACAATATCCGAACCGAAAATGTTTAATCCTAAAATAAAGATTGTTGGCTACCACTCTGAAGAAAAACTTCAAGAACGTGAAATAGTGAAGATATTATGCGACAAAACCACTTTATAACAAAAGAAAATTTAAAAATCACCTATGTTAGATTCCTTCCTCAAAAAAAGATGAATATAGTTTACGCAGAGGTGTCAGGTAAACTATTCAGACAAATATTTGATAATCATGGAGGGAAAATTTTAATTGGTTTCAAAATTTATCAGTATATCCTAATAAATAGGTAACTCAATGTACAAATTGCTTCAAGTTTAATCACTCAGGTAAGAAATGTGATAGTCATAAAGTATGCTTCAAATGTGGAGAAGAACATGATGATACTTCATGCAACAAATCTACTAATCCCATTTGTTGCAACTGTATGTATTCACACAAAAAATATAATAGAAACTATAATACACATCACTCCCCTACAGATAAATGTTGTGCTGTATTTAAATTTTTTCAACAAAGACATATATCAAGAATTTTATTCTAAATTGCTAAGGAGAATATTTAGGAGTAGATACATTACAGAATTTGGACCTGAAATAATTAAAACAAATATTTTAGACGATTTACCTACAACAACGTTACGTTTTTCTATTAATATTGATTCAGGATTGAACATCTTTCACACGAACATAAGGAGCATTCATAGAAATATGAATGCACTCCATGCCTTGTTGGGCATACTAGATTTTAAATTTGATGTTATAGTGCTAACTGGAACATTTAAAGTATATGATACAAGTTTGATCGAAATTCCCAATTATGATTTATATTATAACGATGGTAGTTTTAATAAAAATGACGGGGTTCTGATTTACGTAAGACAAAATTTGAACAGTGGGTATGAAATTAGTAATATAACTCAAACAAAACTTTTACGAGTTATTCTTCAAAAGAATAATAAATGGATACAGATCATTGGTGTGTACAACTCACCCTGTATATCTGTAACAACATTTAATGGTCAATTACATGAGTATTTAGAGAGCAGTAGAAAATCAACATCAACTTATTCATTGGAGGCCTTAACATTAACATACTAGATCATAACAATCAAAATATTCAAGATTATTTAAATATAATGGCTGAACATGGTTACCTGTCAGCCATTAACGAAATGACAAGAGAAGAGGGAAACAGTGTGAGTTGTATAGATCATATGTTTATAAAGTCACGTTTAGAACTTGACAAAATATATTCAGCAATTCTAAAATACGAAATTTCTGATCATTTTCCTACTTTGCTCAAAATCGATCTTGAAAGTACATCAACCAAAATTGAAAAGACAGTGAATAATGCAAAAATTTACATTGATTATGAAAAACTAAATAACAACTTACTCAATGAAAATCGGATTGTAGTATATAACAAACCTAATGTTGAAGATGCATTTGTCCTTTTTATATCTAGCATTGAAGGCTATATTGCTGAATGCACCAAAACAGTAAAGATTCCACGAACACAAATAAAAAGACAAGCATGGATATCAAAAGGGATTATTACCTCCATCAACAAAAAAATAGAATTATATAAGGAAACCAAAAAGTATCCTTATGATGTTAAACTTTTGAATGAATTTAAATCATATCGAAACAGACTGACGAAAATAATTAAAGAGGCTAAAATTAAATATCTCCAAGAAGAGTTTGATAATCTACAAAATTGTTCGTCCAAAATGTGTCAATTTATCAATAAAGTACAAGGCAAAAAACAAAACAACAAAATTAGTACAATTAAAAAAGAAAACGGTGAACCAGTGAGTAATGATGTAGATATAGCAAATGAATTTTGTGAATATTTTTCAAAAATCGGGAAAAGGTTGTCAGAAAACATAAAAAACGCGGAGAAATTAAATTATAGTAAGACCAGATTATATAACTCATTATATCTGGAACCGACCGATACGCATGAAATAAAGACAATAATCAATGAATTGAAATTAAGAAAATCTCCAGGTCTAGATAATATAACAGCGTATACTCGCAAGAGAATAAATTGCAACATCTGCGGCATACTGTCATATTTGATAAATTCTTGTATGAAGAAAGGAATATTCCCTTCATGTTTAAAACACGCTATGGTAAAACCATTATTTAAATCTGGAGAAAGAGAAAAACCCATCAACTATCGACCAATTTCCATCTTAACAAATTTTTCTAAAATATTTGAAAAAGTGTTAAAAAAAACGATTCACCGAATTTGCAAAAAAATATAACTTAATAGCGGAACAGCAATATGGTTTTCAAGAAGGCAAATCTGCTCAAGATGCTATTGTAAAATTAACAAGTAAAATATACACGAATCTCGATATTGGCAAACCAACTGCTTATGTTTTTGTTAACTTGGCAAAGGCATTCGACTGTATTACTCATGAATCGCTTTTAACAACTTTATAAAACTTAGGTTTCCGGAGAATAACATACAAACTTATAGAAAATTATATGTCAAATCGAACACAGTGCGTCAAAATTAATAACACATTCAGTGAACCCCATATTATATCATACGGTGTACCTCGATGCTCAGTATTAGGACCCATTTTATTTTTCTATTTATCAACGATTTGTTCAAAATAAGTAGTACAGGTAAAGTTATCGGTTTTGCGGATGATACAGCTATTCTCTATGAAAGCAACCAGTGGTATACACTAAAAACCACAATCGAACATGATTTCAAAACATTTATAAATTTCTTTTCGGAAAGAACTTTGACAATTAATTACAACAAAACACACTATATAGCATTTCATCGACTGGCTCTCACCACAATTTAAAAAACTTGAAGTTCATACAAGCAGTGGTCTCAAACTTAGGCGTGATTTTGGACAAACGCTTAAAATGGGATACCCATACAGAATACCTTGTGAAGAGACTGAGATGTATTATTCCAAAATTCAGGTACTTCAGAGATATTCTAGATAAGAAATATCAATACAATCTATATTATGCTCTTGTTTATCATCTATTACTTTACGGAATTTTGGCTTGGGGGGAGTTATGAGTAATAATTACAAAATGGTTGATGTAATCCAAAAATTAATTCTAAAATTGATCCTCCATAGGGAGATTACTTATTCAAGTGATTTTCTATATGTGGAGGCTCAGCTATTAGATTGCAGACAAATTTATTTTTATTGTGGTCTATTACATTATTTCAAATATTCAAAATACTTTAATCGTACCATTCATAACTACCAATCAAATTCAATCAAAATTCAATGTGTATTCCACAAACATCAAAAACCATTACACAACGATCTCTGTTTTTCTTGGGACCAAAATTCTATAACTTCATAACAGAGTTATTAAAAGTAATTAAATCAAATAAATCATATAAAAAAGAACTAAAAAAATGGATTTTACAACAACCAAGGTACTCCATCCACGAAATTGTAGATCTGAAGAATCATTATCAAAATCAATAATATTTTACTTAATCTAGGACGTAAACTCACTCCACTCTCGGAATGTCCGGGTGGAGGGTGGGCTCGAGGGAACAACATCGAAGATAAAATTTGTTTTTCGAACATCTGCGGGATCAACAGCAACATTGATGCTGTTCATCACTACCTGCAATCCAATCGTCCAGCCGTGCTTTTCTTGGCGGAGACAAAAATCTCAGAGACTGCACCGATTAACCATCTCAACTTCCCAAACTACGAGGTGCACTCCAA